TTTCTGGAGAGCTGCAGGTGTCATCCGATGGCATTTTTCAGGAGGAAAACAGCCAGGTAGCTGCTGCTTCCAGTCTATGCTGCTCCCTGATGCCACAAGTGCCTTGGATGCAGCTCGGAGGGGAGGAGAGCGGCCGCGCTCGACAGGACGCTGCATCTGCATCCTGCATGGCCAGAGCTCCTCCTGCGAGTATCAGCACATCCAGCTTTGCAGGGCGCTGCTGCAAGCGGCCAGGCTGGTACGTCCTGGGTCCAGAGGGGCAGATGAAGGTCTGGCCACCTCCAACACATTTGGTCTTCTTGGTTAGCTGGGCATTGATTCCGGACAGGAGCACTTCAGGGATACCAAGCATCCGCCGCTGCCATCCTCTTCCTACCAGCAGCCAGCCCGTCCTGTTTAAATTCAGCTTTGGCAGCTGCTCTTTTTACAGGTGCTAATTTCAGTGAAGCATCAAGAAATCCCAGGAGACGGAGCTATTTCCACAGCCCGAGGGCGGCGCAGAGCTAGGGTTTATCTGGCGGTGCCGGCATCGCCGCCCTTGCCGACGCTCCCACCAAGTCCTGCGGGAAGAGGAAGGCAAGCGTGAGGAAGAGGCTGGAGGTGCGGCCGTGGTCCTTAGAGCCTCCCCAGGTCAGTGGGAAGCAAGGGAGCCGGGCTGTCTTGTGGGTTCTCTCCTACAGTTGTGGCTTCCCTAGGAACGGGATGGGAATATTTGAGGATGGAGAGCTGGAGATGCTGCTGGAGAGCAGGACAGTGAATGGAGGTGGAGGAGAGTGACCCGAGCGCTCTATTCCACATGTGCCTTTCCCCAGCTGGGAGCTGGTGTCTTGCTGGTGCCTAAGCCGTGTGAATCCCCCAGCACAGTGAGGATGGACGCGCCGGGTTGGGTTTTGGGGGGGCTGCAGCACGTGCCCCCGCACAGTGCTGGGTCACACGTGTCTGAGCAAAACCCCAGGGTTTAAGCAGGAAGGGCCCTGCCGGCAGCTCATAAAGCGCAGAGGGAAGGTCCTTACCCAGGTTAAGCATTGGCACAACTCAGTTGCTGCATAACAGCACGGCCACAGCTTGAGGTCTGCATGTGCCCAGTCCTCACAGGCGCCTCGGTGCCCGTTTGTAGAAGAAAACTCATTTCTAATTCAATGGAGCAGAGGGAAAGTTTGCAAATGTGGCCAGGGTGGCACTTCCCCACTCAGAGGCAAACAAGTGATCTATTTTCAAGCTCTGTGTTTTTAAGAGAATCTGTTGATATCTTTTTTTGGTGCTGTTCCCTGCTCTCCAGATGGTCGTGCGCAGAGCTACTGCAGCGACTCCCCGTCTCCCCGCATCTCCCCTAGTCCCGAGATGGCCCCGGGCGTGCGCGTGAGCTCCTGCTCCGGGGGACCGCGTGAGCCGAGGGCGCCGTGCAGGGCAGCACTGCCCCCTGCCCTCCTTGCTGGCCCTGTGGGAGCCCCTGTGCCCTGGGCTGCCCCGGGCAAGGCAGGCTTGGCCTGCGGGGCAATTCCAGACATCCAAGGTGAGCAGGAGGAGAGCTTTCTGCACCCTAAAATGACCTGGGATGGGGGGCTAAGCTGCCTTTTGATGCTGTACGCAGGTCTCTGCAACTGGCCTTGCACAGTCCAAGCTGGTCTGTGATGGTCCAGCCCCAAAGAGCAGCAGCTGGAGCTCCCGGTCGGGTTCAGTTTCATTCCAAAGGGAGCCAAGCCCTGTGCTGTCCCGCGGGTCAGGGATGCTCCGCCATGAAGGAGGGTTTCCCTGCTGACCTGCTGGGCTCCCATCCTGCCCGGAGGGCTGCAGGAGAATGCGTTGCCTCCGGCTGCCTCTGGCTCCCACTCGTGGGCGGCTGTGTGACCAGCGGGAGCCAAGACCCTCCAAGGGACAGCACGAGTCTCAGTGATGCACAGGAGGGATAACCCTGGGGACACAGCCAGGCACAACAGAGCCCGAGGGTGCCCCAAGAGGGGAGGCCGCTCCCCGCGGTCCTTCCCCTCCCCTGCGGCGGCTCCTTTAAGAGAGAAGGCGCTGCTCGGATTTTGTGAATGGCGGCGCTCGCCCCCGCCTCGCCCGCCCGGCGCGCAGCCAATGGCGAGGCCGCTCCCACGCCGCCCTTAAAGGCGCCGTGCGCAGAAACCCGCGGCGCCGCAGCCCCTTCCCGAGCACCTGCGGAGCGTGCGGCCTGGCCGCTGTTCGAGACTCGATCCGAGCGGGTGCCCGCAGCGACGGGCGGCCACCTCTGCCCGCATGAGCCGTAAGTGGGAAGTGGGGCCGCTTGGGCCAACTGGGCTCCAGGGTCCAAGCTGGACCCTGATGGTCCAGCCCTAAGGAGCAGCAGCTGGAGCTCCTGGTTGGGTTCAGCTTCATTCCAAAGGGAGCTGAGCCTTGTGCTGTCACAAGCCACAGCAGTTGCATGCCCTCCCCTGATGTGACATAGCTGTGCTCTTGGAAGAATGGAGCATCGAAGCTTGCAAAGGAATCCCACATGGGATTGAGTTTGGGAATGCCGCCCATGGGAATGCACAAACGGAAAACAGCCACGCGCAGTGGGAGAGAGCAGCGATCAGCACCAGCATCAGAACAGCACCGCGCTCGCAAAGCTGCCAGCTGAGTTTGCCCCAGCTGCAGTGTTGAAATGGTGCCCCTGGAGCAGCCCTCATCGGCCCCACGTGTTGCAGGCTACAGGAACATCCCACCGCGCCACCGCAGCCACCAGCCACACAAGTCCTTCCCTTTAGTGTCCGTGCTTGGAGCAATCCCTTGGGAACAATGCCACGCAGTTCTTGCAAGGTGCTGAGGACAGCTACGGGTGCTCTCCAGACAACGAGTGGGAGGGATGCTTTAAGACATGCCCAGAAGGAGCCAGCACCAAACGAAGCCTGTGCTCACGAGTCACTTGGAAAGACTTGAAAATGCCACCTGGGAGCTGGATCCCCCCCACATCAGGAAGATACCTACAGGAACTGGGGAGAGGATACACAGGAGCGGCACAGGAGCACTCGCTCGGACACGGGGATGGAGGGGATTCCGCCCTGCTGAGCTGCAGGGGAAGGGGCAAGGGAGGGCGCGGGGGCCTCTAATGGCCTCAGCTCGGCCCTGGCAAGAGGAGCAGTGGGTGCTTCCATGAAAAGGGAGGGACATTTTCCGGATCCGTGCACGTCCCCTGTCCCACTCGCTGGAGCAGATGTCCCAGCCTGCGGGAAAGCACCCGGGGTGTTGCTGCTCTCGGCACAGCTCCGTATGATCCCAAAGCTCCCAGATCTTCACGTTGAGGTTGCTCTGGTTCTCCCAGCCCTGTGACTGCCTCTGCAGTGGGATCCTGGTCGTGCTCCAGCCCAGTGCCATTAGGATGCAGTGACTTCCCCTGGCTCCTGCCTTCCAGAGAGGAGGCAGCCGCCTGCCAGGCTCTGCATCCAGCCGGGATCGCGCCTTTAAGAAACGGGAATGAAAGTCCGTGTGTTTGGCAGAAAGCGCCTGGGAGATTTGTCACCAGCCTGACCAGTGGCCAGCTTTCCTCTGCGGTGCCAAAAGAGCCTTGGAGTCCACGGAGCATCTTCCTCCTGCCACTGGTTTTGGACACATTTGCTGTACGAGCGGGTGGCCATGTGCATCCCGTGGGCTCCAGTCCAGGGGCTCCAGCAAATTTTCCATCCTTTGCTGCAGGTGGAACTGAGAACGGAGTCTGAAGTTGGTCATGGAAGTGGGAACAGCAGGAGTCACTGGGAAAGCCGAAGTGACTTGGCGCCAAATGTCCTCGGAGGTGATGACTCCAAGTGACACAGCCAGGGCTGCTACCACATAAGCTGCAGCATCCTGGGGATGGGACAGCTCCGCTTTGGCCAGAGGGAAATTGGGAAACAGGAAAAAGCACTTGGGAAACAGGAAAAGCACTCGAGGAGGAGGAGGAGAGGCAGAGAGCGCTGGCCCTTGGTCTCTCGACGGCACAGGAAGGGCAGGGGATGTTTTCGGCTCCAGCTGGTGGGGTTATCGCAGGTGCTGCCGGCACTGCTGCGTGTCCTGGGGCACCAGCGACGGAGCCACTGCATATCCACGTTCCCGCTGCAGGAGGCGGCAGCGGCTGCTCCCCAGGGTGTCCCAGGCACCCGCCGGCCCCAGCAGGTCGGAGCAGCTCGAGCTCCGCCGTAGCCACCGCGGGAGGCGCAGGACAAAGTCGAGACAACAGGAAACCCGGTTACAGCGATGGATGCGATGGGTGCCCTGGCCCTGTGGTGGCTGCTAAAGCAGGAGGCTGGAAAGAGCAAAGCGGGGAGGAAGAGCGACCGGGAGGGCTTGGGGCTGGTCCTGCTTGTGTAGAGGGAGTGAAGACGCCGACCTGCTCAGCTTGTCTACGGAAAAGCCGGACACGGACTGGGAGCTGCCGCGAGGGAAATCCAGGCATGTTGGCGGGGATGATACCTGCCCATCCCCTGCAACTCCACCACCAGCAACTGGAAATTGGCTCCTATTTTTTCATTAAGGAGATAAGGAAGGAGCCTGGTTCTGCTTCTCCCAGCACATCGGCCCTGCTTGTCCCCATGGCCAGACCAAGCCAAGATGAGCTGCTTGCATAGTCCCACTGCATCCCTAAAATCCCCACCCTGCCCTTCCAGCATCCATAAAGACTTGGAGAAAGTTTGGAAGACAGAGAGAAGCAGACGGAGAGGGAGAAATTAAGCAGCAAGGAAAAAAGAAGGGGTGGAGGAGACATTGCCCAGTTTATTATAGTGCAGAACAAGAGGGGAAACGATTAAAAAGGAGAGAGCAGCAGCAGTGGAAGTTTCATCTTTCCCCTCTTTCAGAGGAAGGATCACGGCACAAACATCACCCCAAGCCCGCGCAGGTGCCCCGGACACGACGGCCAAGGAGCCGGCGGAGCCAAGCGGAGCGCGGGAGCTGCCGTATCCCGGTGCAGCCCGCGGCGGGGATGCGGCCGGGCGGGCTGCGCGGAGCCGCCCCGCTCAGTGCCGAGCAGAGGGGACCGCGGTGCCGCCGCCGGCGGGGAGCCTCACCTGGGGCAGGGCAGCACGGGTGCCCAGCAGCAGGTTGCACACGCTGGCCGGCGCCTCCGTCCTCCGCGCCGTCACCCGCACCAGCCGCGGCCCGGTCCCCTGCGTGCCGGCCTGCAAGGAGACACGAGGGCGGCTAGCGCGGGACGGCAGCCCCGGCCACCACCAGCCACCTCCCTCCGTCCCCAGGACCCGCACGGCTCCCCTGTGTGTCCCCGCGGGTCCCCGCATTGATTTGCTAAGTGCTTTTATTGATGGGCACCTTGCAGGAGCTGCAGCCCCCGTCCCTAAGTTAAAGGGGATGCAAAGATGAGGCCCCAGGGTTAGTGGAAGACTGGTTAGTCTTCCTAACTAGTTAGCAGGGGGAATCCTGGAAAGGGAAAAGGGCTGGAGCGACACGTGGAAGGCGAGCGGGACTCACCTCGGGGGGCTTGGCCGGGGAGCCGGGCTGCTGCCTGCCGGGCTCGGGCTCGGGCTCAGGGGCCGGGGCTGAGCGCAGCGTCAGCTCGTAGAACTGGTGGATATCTGCAAGAGAGCGTCAGGGAGGCGCCCGGAGCGCCCCATCCGGCCCAGCTCCGCCGCCTCCGGCTGCCAAGAGCAGGGGCTGGCGCGAAGCCCACGGGCAGCGGGAGAGATGGTGCAGCAGGGGCTTGGGGGGTTATTAAGACATGCAGGACCGTGCTGTGTTTAAGGACACGAGCACAAGCGCGGTGCCCGTGCAGGGGATGCCAAAGAGCAGAGGGAGGGAAGCGGAGCTGGGCTGCTGGCCGCAAGCAACAGATTTCCTCTGAAGAGCCCAAGTTGTGTCCAAATGAGTAAAGCAGGCAGAAATCAACGTGCAGCCGGTGCAAAGGGAGTGCTCGTCCGCACGCACGCGAGGGCCGGCTCGGGGCAGTCCCGCGGCGCCCGGAGCGGCGTCGCGGCCGCCGGGAAAGCAGCCGGGAGCTGGCGGAGCCCCGAGCCGCCGTCACGCAGCCGGACAAGCGGGACTTTGTTTCCCTGCAGAAAACATCTCTCCCTCCGCTTACGAAAACGGCCGTTGCGTAACAGGATGCCGGAGCTCCTTACGCGGCTCCGCTCGCAACGCGCCCAACTCCGGGAAAACACAAATGGGATTTTAGGAGCACAATTCTGTCCCCGTCTGCCACACACACTGCTGGCCAGGGGCAGCAAAGGGCACTGCAACGACATGGCCACGGGCATGTGCATAATTCAAGCTAATTCAAATGCATCTCTTAATTTAAATATATTCTCCTTTTCTTCATTTCCTTGGAACTTCATAGCTGGGATGTCGTGGCAGCAAAAGCTGATGCTGCGTGTCGCATCATACAGCCTGATTTCTGTCTGATCATGGTGTAAATCCGCTACAAGGAAGAGCGGTTCAAGACTTACATAGGGTAAAAGAGATCCGAATGGACCTAGCACGCCTTTCCCAGGCTGTTTCCCTACAAGTCCCGAGCTTTCCCTACAAATCAGAGCACGCAGGAGGTGGCAGGCAGCAAATCCTGGTTTCCCTACGTGCGACCAAGAGCCCCGCCGGAGCCGCGAGCTGCCGGCGTGCGTCAGATGCGGACGGGCACGGCCGGCGCGTCCCGCGTCCCGGAATCTGCACAGGCTCCTGGCGGTGGGGGAGGAAGCAATTAATGCAAATTCCTCGTTAAGTAAACACGCGGAGAGAAAGCAGGGGGAACTAATATCCTGTTAAACCAGTTAAGAAAGGGCCCTGGTAACGGTGCGGCGCTGCCTTGGCCCGTGCGGGCGGCTGGCTGGCTGCGGGCGCCTGCCCTTGTCCCCGTGCACGCGCTTGTCCCCACGCTTCGTGTCACCTTTGGAGGCTCCCAGCGAGCAGGCAGCACATGCAGCCAGGATGCCGGGTTGATGCCCGGGTGTGACGGGAGCACCGCAGGCCCCGGGGCCAGGGCAAAGCAGGCGGCCGCGTGCGCTGCATCGCGCTCTGCGGAGCCTGGCGGTGTCTCTGCTCGTGGCTCGGGCTGGAAACCTCTATGGGTGCTATGGGACCAAGACAAAACGTGCTGAGGTGGGTGCAGCTCCAGACCTCCCGGGTGCTGCTGGAGAGCACGGCTGGGGGCCCCGACCAGACGTGGAGAGGGAAGGAAACGGTGGTTTCCTCCCCAAGAGCTGGGAATGGTAACCTCGAGCTCGGCTCGCCTTCCCCCAGGGCTCCAGGAAGCAGCACTTAAGGAGAAGAGCAGTGAGCAATCCCGGCACGCTGGATATTCTGATATGGTCCCTGGAATTTTCTTCTAAACGTGTGCCCTAAGAGAAACCGCACGACCGGAATATGGCCGATTCCAGCAGGGAATGGAGCCAAGTGACTTCCAAGTCGAAAACATCCGATTTTGTTTGTGCGCTTTCTCTTTAATCCTTCACAAAGGAAGTGTCCTTTCAAGAGACACCCAATAGCAAGGTATCAAAAGACACCCTATAGCAAGGTATCCATGGGTTTCACACAGAGCTCTGCTGTCCAGCAGGACCCTGGCTGCGCTGTCTGATCCCGCACCGACGGCTACGCTGGGCTCGAAACGTCCCAGCCCGAGACAAGGCCGGTGTCCTGCCTGGCCCCTGGCGAGATGCTGCTGCCTGTGTCACTCGCGAGCACAAGAGGATCAAGGTGTGAGTGGGACTGAGCGGCTCCGACGCAAGGAGTAAAGGAAGGGACTTACCGAGCAGCGCCTGGAAGAGCTCGCTCTGGAAGATGTGCGAGACCTTCCCGATGGAGGCCTTCAGCTCCTGCTCCTCCGGAGCCCTCAGCGTGCTTTGGTATCTGGTCAGGATTTCCACTGCCCGCTCGGTGTCTGTGGGATGATGCAGGAGGAACAAGGTGTTAACACCAAAACGCAGGTGCCCGTCACCAGGGCAGGCTCAGGGGCACTGCCTTGGAGCTGTGGCCTTGGGATGACCTCAGGTTCCCTTCCAGCTCCGGATTTTTAAAAGAAACAGTGACACATGTTTGGATGAGCTTAACATTGGTCTTCCTTTGCAGGGAACTACCAGGGAGGCCGGTGAGCCCAGCGAACCAAGCCGAGAGCTGCAGAGCAGTCCTGCTGGGAAGCAGGACAAGGGCTTTAAAGAAGGAGGTTTTGCCTCTGTCTGGTCCTTGGAGGCCAAGCCCATGCTGACTTACCTCTCCACCTGCACAACCGCGGGCAGTCTGAGCACAACGGCCATCTCCCTGGCACAGACACTGTTTAGGAGCTGGACCTGTCCCTGTTGCACAGGGTTATTGGTGCTCCCATGAGGAACTCTGCATGGTCCACATCTGGGTCTGCAGTGAAGGTGACAGCAGCAGGTAACACCTGCCCCGTGTGCCTAATGCAAACTGTCGCAAACGACCTGCACGGCTTGCAAACCCCACGTTTCCATAGGCTGAAACGTGGGAATTGCTCCCTGTGGTGAGACAGCCTTGGTCAGCAGGAGCTGCTCAGTAGGTTCCTCCAGCTATGGAAAATGTTGGAGACATGGGGCCTTAGGGAAGAAGGATGGAGGGAGGCTGGCCAGGCTGGAGAGCTGGGATGAAGCGGTACTTTGGGTAAAGACTGGGCTTGCCATGGGACTGTAGCTGTAGGACCATCTTGGCATGGCAGCTCCAGAAGATCTCCATGTTTCCCCCAGCAAACAACTCCACAGATGGGAAAAGCCAATTCCAGCTCCAGATCCAACCCATTTCTCCAACAGGAGCAAAGTCCCATGGACTTTGACCCGCGCCAGATGTGACCCAGCGCTGGCGGCAGGGGAGCTCCCATGGACCTTGGGCCCAGCCCAGCCCCATCTCTGAATATTTCCCTTTGTTGCCGGCAGACAAAGGGCGTCTGTGCGAGGCAGCGGGGGAGGCGTCCCGGCCGCGCCGGGGACTCATCTCCAGCCCAGGGAACTCATGCAAGAGGGATGGCCTCGCTCATCCCAGGGCTTGCGGCGGGGAATCCAGGTCACCAAACAAGGGGGCCTGTGTGCGCCGGGGCCGGGCGAGTGTCACCTGCTGTCCCAGCGCTCGGCCCCACAGCGGCACTTGCTCCTCCGGGGCCGAAAGGGGAAGGGGTCCCGCTGGCAGCGGGTGGGACAGGGAAAGGCGCCTAGGGAGGTGCCACTAGCCTCACGCACAGGGATGCTCCGAGCTGGGCTCGGCTCAGTGCTGGGCTCCACAGCAGCTCGGGAAAGGTGGCGACCCCCTAGAGCATCAGCTCCACAGGGCTTCTTGGGAATCCTCGCGTTGGTGCCGAGGGTTTCACGTGGGTGCAGGGGGTTTCCTTTGCTGCAAGAGCAGACAGCGGCTGCAGCCGCTGCCGGCATCCCGCGAGCCGCGTTGAGTCATCGTCGCCGGGTCATCCCTGACCTTAGCAGCGGCGGCGGCTAACGCAGCGGGAGGAGACAGGAGCCACCAGGCTGCGGTGCCCAGAGACGGGCAGCGGGTGCACGGAGATCACCAAGGTGTGCACGGAGATGGTCAACACGTGCACAGAGATCAGCAAGGTGTGCACGGAAATCATCAACGTGTGCATAGAGATCAGCAAAGTGTGCACGGAAATCAGCAACACGTGCACAGAGATCAACAACGTCCCAGCCCAGGGCACAGGGCGGAGCGCGCCCAGTGCTCACCCTGCGCTGACACCGGGTGACAACAGGGAAAGGTGGCCCTGCAGCACCAAACCTGGGAAACCGCTGTACCCCCAACACATGCATTAGCAGGGGGACAGGAGCCCCTTCTTGCAACACCCCTCAGCTCCTTCAGGAAGGAGTGTGGGACACTGTGGCCCATGTCACTGTACCCCAAGAGGGCTGTGTCCCAGCAACAGGAGCCCCCCACGGCACCTGTACTTGTGGCCACCCTCCCCGCGACACCCCGGGGCACAGCGGGGTCTCCCCGACGGGGCTCCCCGGCACAAGGGCAGCCCGGACGGCGCCGGGGAGGGGAGCAGGGAGGGAGGCGGCGGGTGCCACTTGTTGCGCGGAGCCGCCGGGCGCCTCTTACCTTCCCTGCGGATCATCGCTCCGCGCGGCCGCCCCGCTCCGCTCCGCGCCGCGCCGCTCGCCGCCCGCGGCCGCCCCGCCCCGGGGCCGCCTCCCGCCGCCGGCCCCGCCCGGCCCCGCCGCGCTCCCGCGCCGGCTCCGCTTCCCCGCGCCGGCCGCTGCGGCTCCGTCTTTTATTGACATAAATAGCGAGGAACAAGTGACAGCGGCGCCCGTGTCGCGCGCGAAGTGACCGGGTGCAACGGGCACCGCTCAGGAGCCGCCTCGGACACGGTCTCTGCTCCAGCCCCTGCTCCCAGGGCCAGCAGCTCCCAGGGCACTGCCGGGCCCTCACCCTGCAAGCACCCAGGCAGCACCCCTGGGCCCAGCACTGGGGGAGGAGGAGGCTCTGCCCCCTCTCCATCCCTCTCATCTGTCTTCTACAAAGCCCCCTCCTCCCTCACAGCTCCTTCTACTGCCCCCCTGCCCCAGGGCAGCACCTTAAATAAGGTTTCCTAGGGATCAGGTCACCCCAGACCCTGCACCCAGCTGCCCCACTGCTCCAGAGCAGCACAGACTGCCCTGCCCTTGCCCACACCAGGGCTCAGATGCCCCCCAGCCCTCAAAGCAGCAGCCCTAGCTGAGGTCTTAGCAGAACTGGGGACAAAATCTGCCCTGAGCCTGGGGCCTGGAGCAGCCCCTGGAGCCCCCTGCCTAGGCCCTGCCCCATCCATGCTCAAGGGAGCAAGAAATGCAGCTCCTGGCTAGTTCTGCAGCACTCTAGGAACCCGGAGAGCTGCAGGGAAGGGGAAGCTCAGGAAGAGTCTGCACAGGGAAGGAGCCTTGGAGCTGGTCTGAGGAGCTTCCCCCCTTGAGCTGGGCTCGGCTCCAGCTGCCCCTCCCCAGGGCTGGCGCAGGCCGGAGGGTCACTCTTGCATCAGGCTGTTGATCTTGGTGAGCAGCACGTCTGTCTCGGACTCTGTGGGGGCAGAGAGAATGAGAACAGTCAGTGCAGGTGGCGGCTCTCCTGCAGCGGCTGGCAGAGCAGCTTGGAAAGCAGGTCTGAGGAGGCTGGGGGTATGTGGGGTTCCCCAGCACTATCCCACAGGACGGGCTGGACAGGAGTTCCCAGGGCTGGGATTCCCTTCCCAGTCCCAGCCATTCCAAACAGCTCCAACCCATTCTGCAGGAGCCTCTGGGCAACAGGGTTGGCTCTGCAGGCAGGGGGCAGCTCACATCCACGCGCCATTACCTGCTGCTTGTCTTCTCTGGGAGCATTTCCTAGGAGAAAGAAGAGGATCCATGTCAGTCTAGAACAGGGATTAAGTCTGTACCCTCCCAAGGGGTCCTGCAGAATGTCTTGTCCCCCAGGATGCTGCTCTCAGGACCTAGTGCCACTGGTAAAGGAGCAGCTCACAGCCCAGCACCCTCCAACCCCAATACATCAAGTCCTGCAGTGGTGAGTGGAGCCTTAGGCATCCAGCAGCTTGAGGAGGGCCCAGGCTAGATATTCAGCTGCAGCCTTGTGATAAAAACTCCCTCCATACACTTCTGTGTCACTAACAGCCAGACAGGAGCAGACTCCCAGGATCTGAGTCCAGAAACAGGCAGCAGCAGCTGGTACCACAGGCCTGGGCACAGCCCAAGCACCAGGGCACATTGCAGCCCGCCCTAACAGGCCTGCCCAGGAGAAGCAAAAGGGCCAGACTTACTTCACCAGGAGAAAGGCCCACATGATCATGAGGAAGGAGACGCAGTCTGCAACGATCCAGATCATCAGGTAGGTGCTGCTGGGCTGCAGGGCAACAAGACAGGCAATAAGCACCAGCCAGGGTCTGATGGCACAGTCCAAACTGCTCTGCCAGCCTGTCCTGCACTGGGCCCATTCCCATGCTAACCCCTCCCAGCACAGTACTGTGCTAAAGCCACCCTCCCTCCAGACAGCCACTGCAGAAGGAGACCTGCAGCTTTCTGGGGCACAGGCCTGCCACGAGCCAGAGCATCAAAGCAGGGCCTGTGAAGGATGGAGGGGTCACTTACCAGTAGCCAGATGGGGTGTTTCATCTCCTTCAGCACCTGGCAGGCATTGGTGGTGACAGAGCTCACCCCAGCACACCAGAGCACCGAGAAGAGCCAGGGCTGATTCACCACGTACAGGTTGACAGAGACGTTGTCCTGGCGGTACTGCCTGCGGAGGGACGGTGGCGGTGAGAGCGGCAGACAGCGGGGTGCCAGCAGACTCAGCTCGCAGCGGCCTGCACGCCTGGGACGCGATCCAGCTCCTGCAGCCACGTGGTGCTGCTGGAGAGCCACATCCAGGGCAGATTTGCTGGCAGTGCTAAGGACTGCAGCCAGCTCCATCCCTTGCACCAGCCCTGCTTGATGAGGCATGCTGGTCCACTAGGCTGGAGCGTATCCCCTGTTCCTCCCCACGCCGTGCCAGTGCTCAGCCTTGGCTGCTCACCTCTGCTGGACACTGGGACAGAGCTGATGCAGTGCTTACCAGACCTAGACACAGTGCTCTCACCTGATCTCCTCGGAGCTCATGTCCTGGTAGGGCAGGTTAACGTGCAGCAGCGGCTCCTTCTCATCCTGGAGTCTCTTCCGGCCATAAACCTGCTGGACGCCTGGGACTTGCTGCTTGACTTGCTCCCTGAATCCATCTGGCAGCCAGAGGATCTAGACAGGAGCCAGAGAAGACACCATCCAGAGAAGTTTGTGTTGCTCAGATGTTTCTTTACTGGCTAGAAACACACAGCCTGCTCAGACAGCTGCTTCCTGCCCCCTCTCCGTGTGTCTGCTCAGCTCTTCCATAAGCATCTCATCCAGGACAGCCTAAGGACTTGTCCCAGCCAACAGATAAACACAAAATATGCCACTTAAGGGCAAAAATAGTCCCAGCCTAAGAAAGCTGCAGCAAGACAGTTATGTCCTTTTGAGATCCTCACATAGATCTATAAGAGCATCCATTTGGCTCCAGTCCTGCAGCAAGAACACACCTTGAATCAGCAATAGGGTACAAGCCTTGGCAATAAACCCCTCCTGCCTAGAATTCCAAAAAGCCAAGAGGGAAAGTGCTCTTGGGTGCTAACTCATCCCCTCGGGGCACCAAGTCTTCAGCTGCAGAGGTTGGCTGAAGTGCAAGGAAAGGCAGGAGGCTGTAGCCAAAGGCAGGGAGCTGCAGACGCAGGGGTGGAATGGTGGAGAGAGGGCGGGTGCTGCAGAGAAGTGGAAACCCCAGCTTTGTTTCCTGCTCTCACTAGCAACCCTCCCTATTGAGTCACTGTTTACACATTGGGGTGGCAAGCACTGGGGAACCAGAGTATTGGGAGGGTTCTGAAGCTTCAGGCATTAACCCTTAACAGACAATTATTATTATTATTATTTTAAAAGCTAGATAACTCCATGATCTCCTTACAGGAGATGCTGTAAAGCTACCAAGCCTGAGGTTGGCAACTAACTATTCCAAGTCTCTTGTGTGCCAGGGAACCCCACAAGGAAGCATACAGGAGATGGGGAATTAGGGTTAACAAGGATACTCAGAAGGGTTGGCAGGCAGGACTCCACTGTGACAGGGCCCAGCAGCCACATTACCTGCTGTAGCGGGATGCCTGACTGCAGGATCGTGTCCAGCGTGGCGTTGACAAAGCTCTGGTAATCACTGTGGTTCTCAGGCCGGAGGTCAAACATGATGGAGATGTTGCTGTGCTTGGCCACCTCCAGCACCTCTTCCAGAGATGGGATCTTCTGCTTACTCGCCTGCTTGCGGTCGCCAGCAGAGAGACTCTGCACAGTGGAAAACGGCCTCCGCTGCAAGGGTGAGGCCGAGTTAGCCAGCACAGGCAGAGCCTGCAAGCCCCCAGCTCCCAAACTGGCACCTGACCCAGGCTCCCCAGCCTCCCGCACTGTCCTTCCAGTGTGGAGAAGCATGGGGCTCCTTCCCCTGCACACCCAGTACACATATTCCCTGCTCTGCACTGACAGCCCCATTCAAGCAGCCCCAGCACCTGTGGGCATTCAGAGCAGCTCAGCAGTTCATTAGTCACCTTTTGCAAGCTGAGTTGCTCCAGCCTCCTCCAAGTCCGGGCAGGCTGTGCTGCTCAGAGCAAACCCTGGCCAAGTGCATGAGCCATCTCCCCTCAAACCTGCCTCTTCTGTGACTCAGCTGAGGAGTCACAACAAACCCCAGCTGCAGCAGCCAGCTTGGGGTGTAACCGTACCCACGTGCAGCTCTGCAAGTGCTTCTGTACCTTTTCCAGGTATCTGCCAAGACCAGCACTGCAAAGGGAATATCCCCTATGGATCCCACTTCACCCATCCCTGATGAGCCACCCCAGGGGCACCCTGACCTCCAGGAACCAGCTGCCAGCATCCAGCTGCTGCAGGTCTGTCCAGTTGAAGGCGGTGCTGTTGAGCGAGGCCCTCTCAGGGAACACGTCCTGCACGTTGGTGGTCCGGGTGAGCTTCTCATCGTGCATGAGGAACGGGACCCCATCCGCACTAGCAGAGGAGCAGAGACAGACCATTGATGTTGCAGGTTGCTTGTTCCCTAACACTACCCTAGCTCCTAGTATCCTGGGGAGGCTGCTCCCCCCAGGCTTCCCTGTTGGACCTTTGCACAAAGATCTGAGTGTCTGGAAAGCACAAAGAATCAAGAGGCTAAGCCATGAACCACGAGGTTCCTCACTCACTGCAACAGTTGGGGGATTGCAAGAGGTGAGTTAAGAGCGCAGGGTCTGCCCTCCCAGCAGTGTCTTTCCCCTCCCAGTGCTTCCTTTCTGATGCACTGGAAGGCAACATCAGTGAAAAGAGGAGAAATACAGCTCCTACCCCAGGTCACTGGTGCACCAGACTGGAGCCAAACCCATACAGGAAAGGGGGGAAATGGAAGAGCCCTGTGAGCAGAGCTGTCTCTAAATGCAGGCTCTTAGTTTTTCAGATCTGTTTCCATGCACTCCATGAGTGATGTCCTTGGATACAGGCTGCTCCTCCCCAGGCCCCCGCTGCCCCCTTACCTCACCATGACGTCCGTCTCAAAGACCTG